AATCTTATGTCTTAAAACACAAGGGTAGTTGGGATAATTTCCTACCTTTGATAAAGTTCACCTACAACAACAACTACCCATTCCAATATTGGGATGATACCTTATGAAACCCTTTTATGGTAAAAGATGTAGGAAATCCTTATGTTGGGTAGAACTTGATGAGAGTTCTATGTTAGGACTGGAAACAATCCAACAAACCACCAAAAAAATGAGGTTTATCCAATATAGGATGAGGACAATCTAGAGTAGGTAATAGAGTTACCATCATAAGAGAAGGAAAGACCTTGAGTTTAAAAATAAGATTGTGTTTTCCTTAAAGTAGCTCCTTGAATTGGTGTTGGTGAGCACTAAAGTCCCACAAACTTACTCTCTATTTCATTGGTTCTTACCAAATCCTAAAGAGGATTGGTGAAGTAGCCTATCAAATACCCTTACACCCACCTCTTTCAAATTTACATAGTATCTTTCATGTCTCATAACTCAAAAAATATGTGCATGACCCTTCACATATCCTTGAATCTACCAATATCCAATTTAAGGAAAATCTTACCTATGAAATTGTTCCTTTAATGATTGATGATAAGAGAGTGAAACGATTAAGACGAAAAAAATACCCTTTTGGTTAAGGTTGTTTGGGAAGGGAACACAGAGGAGAGTGCTGCTTGGGAGTTGGAAAGTCCAATGTAAGAGTCATATCCATATTTATTTGATTCAGGTAATCTCAAGGATGTAATTTCAAAAATGGGGAGAGTTGTAACACCCCAAAAATTTCTAAATAAATTAATAAGAGTTGCTAGCAACACACTCTTTTAAACATACTCTGGCTAATTGATTAAAATTTATTAAAAACACAAAATTTGGTGGGTCTCACATCCTATTTAATGACTATTTTACTTGATTTTGTAGTTTTCAATGGATTTTAACCAATAAAAGTGGACATGTTATGAGAAGTGTGTTACTAGTATTCATCCTTATATATATAAGGTTAAAATATTTTTTAGTCCATATTATTTCACTTATTTTACCTTTTAATTTCTATAGTTTAAAATACTTTTTTAGTTCTCATACTTATCTTTTTCAATCCTTTTTATTCCTTGTAATTTTAGATATCTTTTTTTAATCTCTATACTTACAATTTTCTAATCTTTTAGTCCATATTGTTAATTTTTTGGTAATGTTTGTTTAATGTTGATGTGATAAAGATTTTCAATTTTGTGAGGGTAAAAAAAGATATCTCAACAATGAACATAACATGTGAAGGTATAGGAGAGGTACAAAATGTCGGGAGTAGGGATGGCAACGGGGTGGGGCGGGTACGGGTTTCATGATACCCGTCCCCGTTTCCGCGAGCCAAACCCATCCCC